TAGAGAGACACATCATAATACTATGAATCTGAACAAAGTATGTAGCACATTTCTCTAAAATCTCTTATATTATAAGTCGGAGGGAATATTATATATTTTCTGAAAGGTAGCGTACACATGCATGATTTTTGTTTGAGACTATATCATGATTGCTAGCTATAAATGAGTGATAAGTCAACTACCCAACCACTTCTCCTGTTTCTAAATGATCTGATAAGTGCCACGTATGCCACAGGATTATATGCTACATGTCAATAAGACAATATACTCCATCCATCTCTAAATATAAGGGATTTTGGTTGGACGTGACACATCCTAATATAACAATGTGCCACGTCCAACTAAAATCCCTTATATTTAGATAGGGATGGAGTAACAAATACTAACAATACAAAGAAAGTGAAAGGTGATCGTCATGCATGTAGCTAGCTGCTAGCCTGCTACTACAGGGAAAGAAAACTAATGGTGATCAGTTCATGCCATGCTGAAGTTGCTAGCTGGAGGATAAAGTGTAAGGACGACGATGGCGCGTGACTGAGGAAGGATGGGATGGCACGCGAGATCAAGAATTTTTCCTCGCCAAAGAAAATAAGACGATTGGGGGCTGCAGCCTGCATGTGGAGTCCGCAGGTCTATAGGATATACGAGTTGATTTGGGGGCCTTCTTATTTTTGGCCGTATATTAGAGGTCCGTATGGACCTCGTTTCTTCACATCCACACACACAAAAACAAAAATTGTATGAGTGTTTAGTTTAGGGTGCTTTACTGAATATGCTCTTACTTTTTAACTCTCCAACAAGTTCAAACATGTAATAGTAATATGCCCATACTTATTTGACAGAAGTAGTTACGCACACGGAACATATGGACGTGCTACACGTGATGGGAGGAAGGGATGGAAGGAACATGACATCGGTTTTAGATACTCTCTCTATCTATTTTTGATAGTTATATTTTATCTTGGCACAATTACTAAGGATAAGTATATCATCCATTTAAACATGCTACTAGTTATTCCTTATAAACAAGCGATTTATCAATATTTACATTTCTCGATGCCCACCAATTTTGCACGGAAGTATGGAGAGTCATCAAATTCGACAAAGTCATTAAGATGATATAGGTGGTTGGATTGAAATATGCATATCAAACACAAAATTTTTAGATTTGGAAATATACCTATCAAAAGTAAATGGAGAGAGTACTAGAGGCAAATCTTTTAAATTTGAATAGCCTAAGCTTTGAATGGTCAAGTCGGAGCCCCGTGAGCTTAGGCCACGGAATATAGCTAGGCTTGGCACGGTGGAGGAACCTATGAGGGGAGAGGGCAAGAGACAACGCCATACAGTGGGAGGGGCCAAAGGGGTGAGAAACATTGTGACAAAGTCCACATGACCTAACAATAATACGGTATTAGACGATAATGAAACGTGGTGTGGTTAGAGCAGGATCTGCTGGTGAAAAGGAACAAGATGAGAGACCTGAAGTGAACTTATTCAAGGCTAGAATTAAAGTGAAGTTGAAAATGGCTTGGGACTTTAAATTAGAGGTTTTATACAATAACCCTAAAATTGGTCATACTTGATGGAAAAATGGAGATTATTTTGTTCCTTCCCTCTTTCCCGTATTTTTTTTATTTCAACCTAAGTATGATCTTTAGAATTATCTTTATTTATTATACTTTAGAATATTAAATCCATTGTTTTGATGGTTGAAAATCTTATCATTCGTATATCTACTAGTGACTTGGGAGATATGAAAAGGAAGGATCCAAAGGGTGTTTTAGCGCGGAGAACTCTCAGTGATTTTCCTCACTGCAAAGGTCAGTGAGAGACCAAAACCTAAGCCCTAGCAGGGACAAAACGACTCTCACAATTCTTATCTTAATTTTCTCTTAATATTTGTACAACTATTTTAATTAATGCATGGAACTTTCATGCTATATTAAATGAAATTGGACAAAATTGGCACGTTTTAAACGTCGATTCGTAAAAAAATAAAACCACAAAAGAGATTCGATAACGAGAGGATGTACTTAGGAAACTGGGAGGGCCACATATCCATCCGTCGTATTATTTCTCTTTCTTCACCATCACGACTCTTCGTGAAGAATCACTGAGGAAACATGATTGTATATGTCTTCTTCTAAACCGTATGGGCCAACATACATGGTTTAATGAAGCACTTGTTTTCTTTTTCTAAACCGCATTAATTACCAGTTAAGATCAACTTTAAAAAACACTGTAGAGGAAGCCCCACATCAAAAATTATATTAAAATAGGAAAATTAAAAAAAAAGATACAACATCAACTTTTTTAAAAAAAAACTGTAGAAGAAGCTACCACAGTAAAAAGTATATTAAAATAGGACAATTTAAAAAGAGTTACACATACTACGTAGTAGTATTTAACAAGAGGAAATAAGAGATCTCTCCCATCTAAATTTACTCGGAAAAGGAGAGAAAGATCATTATTGAAGAATGTCTTCTAAGACTACACAGAGGGAATTATACTATCAAAAATAAGCCCATGGTTTTCCTCCCGATTGATAGGAACATTTAGGAAAATTTTCCATTGATCATGCTAACTGACAAGAGAACAGACGACCGAGACCAAAATTGCTACCGGTGTGAACCTTCAAAGAGAACCAGTAGTGATAGGCCTATAAACCGGTATTGTTAGCCCGTTCTGTGGCAGTAGTGCATTGATCACGCCGAACGTAAGCCAAATCATTGATGACCCAAACCGGTTCTCATTGGTGATTTGATCATGACGAACTCACAACAGGACGCCGGCACCAATCTAATCTCATCCTGTTCGCTAAATGGAGAAACACCATATGATGTTTTGCAGCCGCGTCCTCTCTACTGAAGATATATATGCACGTCGTCCATTCTTAAAAGCTGTAAATAAATATCCTACTGTACTGCTCGAGGCTTCTTTCATTCCTTCGTTTGGCTTCAGCACCACACACTTTCTAAATTGCTAAATGATAGATTTTTTTACACAAACTTTTTATATAGATAAAGTTTCTTTGAAAATCAAATAAATATATTTTTTATATTTATAATAGAATGCTTAATAAATTATATAATAATGTCATTTCTCATTTTACGTGCAGAAAAAAAAAGCAAAAGCGAAACGAACTTTCAAATAGACGCTTAACAACCGCACTTCACCACTTTTGGGTTGGAGTATGTGTTTCAACCACTATACTTCATCACCTTCGAATCTATCGTGAACTCTAATTTAGTAATTCTATAATTTGACGGTATATCAGATCTATCTTTAACTCTCAATTTAATATTTTATTTATTTATAAAATTTAAAATTAATAATTAATGGGCTGTAAATGACGTGGACTTTTATTTTAATATAAACCGATAGAGTTTTAAAGATAACAACTTTAGTAATCACATGTCGTGTAACACACAAGTTAGTCGTATATATTTCTTCGGTTAATTTAGTAATTTTTTAGCTATATAAATATTTCTTGTTTTATCCTATTAATGTGTAATTTTTAGGTTTTCATAGAAAGAATGGTGGCTTCTTTTTAAGATTATAAGATAATAGATGGACAAACATATACATATAATCATCTTGCGCTAGCACAAGAGTCGAACCTACAACTACTCACTAAATTGGTCAAGATAAAGATAAAGCATAACTATCATAATTAATGAATATTCTTATCCGGTTACACCATTAAAATACTATCCAGTCCTTGATCGATGGTGAACTAGCTATCTCCAACATATAGAATTAATAGATGGACCTTACCCCCATTCAAAGAATATTTTTTTTGGAAAATCACAAAAGCACACCTTATGAGATGACGTGCATGGGAAGTTTAGTACCACCATACACAGAGGGATACCTCCTTATAAAGATGATACTCTTCTAGCCACTTTAGGCATGTGCGGAGAGAAGAGGGTGAACACGTGCTCCTCGCCTCACCTGGCATGGTGGCGCACGTGCACATCGAATGTTCCGACAAAATTGGTTCATCACCCATGTGTAGATGCAGTCTACTTTTGTAGTTTTGTTTTGCTGCGGAAAATTCGGATTTGTTTTTCGGAAACAGTTCTACTTTTGTAGTTTTGTTTTGCTGCGGGAAATTCGGATTTGTTTTTTGGAAGCAGTTCGAATAATCCGGTGCGTGAGACGGCATGGGGTCCAAATAAGTTACACGCGACTTATCCGGTTCGGTTACACGGAATAGAGATCGTGCAGGCGTCCTGATCAAAAGTCAAGCCTCCGCCTCCACGCAATACACGTCAAATCAATTTAGGGTTTGCTTTTTCCTCTGTATTGCACCGTCACTCGTAGTCTACTCCATCCCGCTTGTCGGCGTGCACCGGTACGGTGATGGGGGGGCAGGTCTCCGGAACCTTCGCCTTCGACGTCCTGCACTGGGGTGAAACGGTGTGGAGTCCGAATAAGTTACACGCAACTCATCTGGTTCAGTTACGTGGAGTGGAGATCGTACATGCGTCCTGATCAAGCGTCCTGATATCTCTATATAAGTCAAACCACAGCCTCCACGCAATACACGTGAAATCAATATAGGGTTTGGCTCTTCCTCTATACTGCACTGTCGCTCGTAGTCTACTCCACCCCGCTTGTCGACGTGCGCTGGTGATCGGGAGAGCAGGTCTCCGGAACCTTCGCCTTCGACGTCATACAATGGGAGAAGGCGGTAATAAAGTTTATGGGAAGCGCTTCGTACGACTGCTCCCTGTTCGATCACAACGGCTTGTTTTCCTTTTCGCTTGCGTGCTGCGCGCCGTCGTTAAAGCCCGCAACCGCGAGTCTTTCCTGCTAAGCAGCCGGTTTTCCGATACCCTCAGTATGTGTTCAACATATTACGCATATTTGGTCTGTTCATTCTTTACTGTCTAGTTTACATGTGTAGATTTTATGATGCGTTTATGCTAGTTTATCTCTGTAATATCATGATGAAATAAATTAAATCGTTATGTTATGTGCTTATAAATTCAACATGTACACACCCACGCTGCCAAAAACTGAAAGCTAGCTAGCCGCTCAAGCAAGCATGGCGCACGACGCAAAAATGGCGGATGTACTATCTCAGGGTTACGTCTACCTCGCCATGGCTCTCGTGGCGCTGCTCGGCGTGCTGCTCACGAAGTGCAGCCGCACGGCGACGGCTCAGCGGCGGCTGCCTCCGGGGCCATGGCAGCTGCCGGTCATCGGCAGTCTGCACCACCTCATCGGCAAGCTCCCGCACCACGCGATGCGCGATCTTACGCGCCGCCACGGGCCGGTCATGATGCTCCGGCTCGGCGAGGTGCCCACGCTGGTGGTGTCGTCGCCGGAGGCGGCGCAGGAGGTGATGAGGACACACGACGCGGTGTTCGCCACGCGGGCGCTGAGCGCCACCGTGCGAGCGGGCACCATGGGAGGCAGGGACATCGCCTTCGCGCCGTACGGGGACTACTGGCGCCAGCTCAGGAAGATCGCCGCCACGGAGCTCCTCTCCGCGCCCCGCGTCGCCTCCTTCCGCGCCATCCGCGAGGAGGAGGTCGCCGCCACGCTGCGCACGGTGGCCGCGGCCGCCGCGGACGGGCGCGCCGTGGAGTTACGAGCGGCGCTGTGCGCTCTCGTGACCGACTCCACGTCGCGCGCCGTGGTGGGAGACCGGTGCAAGGAGAGCGACGCGCTCATCCGTGCGTTCGACCGTTCCATGGAGCTCGCGAGCGGGTTCAACCCGGCGGCGGACCTGTGGCCGTCGTCGCGTCTCGCCGGCCTTCTCAGCGGCGGCGTGCGCGAGATTGAGGCGAACCTCCACACGGTGTTTGGCATCCTTGACCGCCTCATCGAGAAGCGCCTGCAGCAGAAGAAGACTGCTCCATCGTCCGCCGCCGGCGAGGACATTCTGGACGCGCTGCTGAGGATACACAAGGAGGGCGGCGGGCTCCAGTTCCCGCTCGACATGGACAGCATCAAATTAATCATCGCTGTAAGTGACCAACTGCATGCATGCCTTCGTGTGATTTCTCATGAAGAACAAGTATTGTCGCCGCGTTTTGTGTTTTGATGCTGTCAGAGTGTGGGTGGTGTTTTTTTTTTCATTTTCCTGAGTATGACCTCCCAAGTATAGCTGTCCAAAAAGCCCGAGGCTCGTGAGCTGAAGGGTTCAAACTTTCGGTTGAAGGTGTGTCCGAAATTATTTCAGACCGAAATTATATGAATTTTTGAACAAAATTTGAACAAAATATTACCAAATTCACGAAAAAAATGAAAAAAATCTAAAAATTTCAGCCAAAATAATATCGTATGGGGGTACGATAGAACCGAAATTTCAAAAATTTCGATCCGAAACTGTGAATCCTTTTGAGCTGCTCGAGCTTGGCTCGCTCGACTCGTGAATAATCCGAACCGAGCCCAAGTCTACCTCCTCCAAGCTCGCAAGCTTGACGAGCCAAGCTCGAATAGTTCGTTGAGCCTAGGTTGCCAACATTTCTTTTCAGCTGGCGTTACTGTCTCTCACATTTTTAAAATTTTTCTTGTAGCAGAGACACCACAACTACTACTCATCTCCCAACTCCTAATAAAAAGCTGCATAGAAATAGAGCATGGGTTCACGCCTGCAGGCCCTGGCCTCCTGCTAGTACTATTAGCATGCATGCATCTCCATTAATATTACTATTATTAGTCACATCATGTTTTAAAACGATAATAGTTCCGGTACAAGTCTAAGGACATCTACAATATTGTGCTATAAGAATGACTAGCCATATATATTGTAGGCACTAGCCATAAGATATTAAATGCTAAAAAATAACTATAAAGCTTATGGCTCAACCTTAAGAAAAAAAAATGAGATAAAGTACACATGCACATTAAAGAGGATGAGAATAGATTATGATATGGTGGAACCTACCTTAAAATAGAATTTATTTACATAGATGTGGGACCCATCTTAATATATATTCTTGCCTTCAATATTGTGGCCATGGACATAGGGTATGGTGGGACATACCTTATTTTCACCAAGACCTCAAGCATTGCTATTGCCCTAATGTTGGGTATACTTGTCCAATGCCGTCGTGATTCCCCATGCTCTCATCTATACAGACTATTTAAAATCTAAAATTGAAAAAGCTCGAGGCTCGAGCGAGCCGAGCTCGCGCCCGTTTTTATGCTCGAAGTTCAAACCAGACTCGGCTCGAGTTAGTATCGAGCTCGAGCCTACACATATAAGCTCGTTCGATCAAGCTCAGCTTGTTGACAGCCATATTCTTAAGGTTATAATCTTATAATTTTTTCCTACTTTATCAATATGAATTTCGTACTGTCTGGTGCGAGTCATTAAAAAAAAAGTATTGTCGCCGCCGGTAACCTCCAACTTGCCGTATGTGGAGCAATGACACTATATATGATATATGGACGCAACTATACTGAGCATAGTAGCGTGTTAGTCCTAATCCGCGACCAGCACTGTGTTACTAAAAATAAAATCACACATTGTTTTTGCACAAAAAGCACTGGGTCCTCCACGCAACACGCATACCCAGTTGACCTCACTTTGATTGCTACTAGTACATTCATTAGTGCATGTCTTGCTTTTTCTTTTTATAGAAATTTTTTTAAAATCACTTATCCGATCTATAATCTGATTATATCGTTGTGATCGTTACAATTAAATCTTTATAACAAGATCTTACATGATTATATTCTAATAAAAAAATTATTTATCTTGTAAATTACTTTTATTATATATGTAAGTTATTTTTATCATATATATAAATTACTTTTAGATTTAACCTCTTTAATAACTTATATCTTTTAAATCACATATTGTTTTCAAGATCTATTTGCATCATTGTACTTGTCAACATTTGAGATCTTGACTACGGTATTTTGCATAGTATGGGGATCGTTGGTATCAGGGTATATACGAGATTGAAGTATGGAGACAAAGATTTTTATATAGGTTCGGGCCCCTTATCTGATAGGTAATAGCCCTACTCCTGTTGGCCAAAGTCGGTGTTGCTCTTCATTTATCTGAATTACGCAAGTACAATAATTGGGATAACATATCTAGCTGTCGTCGACTTGGCGGCATGGATAACCGACACGTAGTCGACGACAAGGTAGTCTTCCTCCTCAAGTATGAACTCGTCGAGATCAGAGATGACGCTAGATCCCTCTTGCCGGCCTCTGTAGGCACCGGATGGGGTATGTCTAGACTAATCTCTGATGTTGATATCTGGCATGTCTTGTCTTGTGTGTTGATCTGTTGTGTCTTGTTGGTCTGTGTCTATCTTGATTGTCCCACTCTCCTCCTAAGGAGTCTATTTATACCCATAGGTGTCCCTTTGTCCAAGTAGAACTAGGGAGACCAATATGGATACAATCCGAGTAGTCCTTATAGTTTCCATATAGAACTATATTTGTCATGATTACGAATAAGAAATACCTCCTATTCTACGACTTATGGAATATACGGATATGGTATACCTTCATGTACACGGGTTGTTCCCGTATACGTTGTAGGAATCCATTACAAAATATGGAAAATATCTCTACGAGTCAAGTGATTTCTAAAGTCCTACTTGGAAGGTATAGAGTTTCTAGTATGTTGTACAAGATCCGATGTTTCCGAGTCTTACTTGGAGATCAAGATGGTACACGGTATAAAAAGGGACCCGCAGGTAGGGGTGCAAGGCATCGAATCTCATCACCAACACACCCATCACAGCCTACGAAGCCGGAGTGTGCGAAGCCAAGTCGCCAGGAGATCTCGTCGAATACATCGATCACGATCTCGTCGGTATCATCGATTTGGTCTACTTCCATTGTATTATGTGGTTTTTCATCATCAATCCCATATAAACCGAAGTAGGGCTATTACCTGATAAGGGGCCTGAACCAGTATAATCCTTGTCTTCTATTTGCTTGATGTCATATTACGTAGTTCATCGTTCCAACGTACCCCAATACCCTAATCATCTGGTCTACGAGTATCACTCGTCGACAAAATGTATCTATGAATGTAAATTTAATAAAGTCTAAAAGTAATTTATATCAATCCTAAAAGTAACTTAAGCACAAAATTGAAGTAAGTTGTTACAACATTAAAAGTAAATTCGTTGTAGGGAGAAAAAATATGGTCTATCTAAAATTAAATTTAAAGTCCATAAATTATAAAATTGATTAAAAAAATAACAAAATAATCAACTTAGAGCATTATGAATGTATAAGAAGTAATTCAGTCAAATCTAAAAGTAATTTATATATATGATAAAAGTAACTTACGCATATAATAAAAGTAATTTAAAAGTATAAATATTTTTTCATCGTAATATAATCATCTAAGATCTTGGTGTGAAGATTTAATTGCAATGAACACAATGGTGTAATCGGATTGTAGATCGGATAAGTAATTTAAGAGAAAACTTTATAAAAAGAGGAAAAAAGACATGCATGTCTAATAGAAAAAAGGCATGCATGTGTAGTACTTCCCTCACTGGTTAAGCCGAGAATGCTTACTTTCGGTCGTCTGATGGAGATCAAAATATCGAACACAGACAACATCTAATGAGCCCTTTCTCTTATACGTAGAAAGGCATGTGCATGCAGCACCCTTTATTTTGTTATATCACCTACACTTGCATCGATACATCATTTATATTCATTTCATCTATGACACTATATTTTCAAACTTCAAACATTTTTTTCACTTCATTTACCCAATCCACAATCCGATTATACCGTTATATTCATTACAATTAAATCTATCAAACAAGATCACACATGATTGTATTTTAATCTAAAATAAATATATGTTTCAACCATAAAATTTCGATGTTTCACATGTGAGAAGTGTATGTTTCAGTCCGAATTCGACATTGTTGCATATTTCAAACTGTTATGTTGCAATTGATTTTTTAATTGTTGCACATAGTGTTGTTCGGATGTTTCAACATGTATTTTGTGATATTTCACTAGTTCATTTATAAAATGTTGCATGCAATGTTATTTAGATGTTTCACCAGTATTTTGTGATGTTTCACTATTTTATTGCAAATGTTGCATGTTATGTAATTTGGATGTTTTAATAAGTACCATGTGATGTTTCACTTTCATGTATTATATACTAATGTGTCAATTAGAAAAATAATTTTATATATTAGAAATATAATCATGTGAGATCTTGATTTAAAGACTTAACTATAATATATATGATGATGCAATTGAATATTACATAAGATAATTTGTTTACAAGTAAAGGATGCTTAAAGGTTTGTTAAAGGTTGTTTTAGAGAAGATGTTGAATAGATGTAGCATGTCACCTTGCTTGCTGCACTAATTAATACTTCTAGAGGTGTAGTGTGTAGTATGGTAGTAGCGCATGGGCCCACAAAACCTGTATGTGCAGCTGCGAATGGAGTCATCACAGGCGGGCGTCTGATGCCATAGGTTTCATCGGACGTCCGATCTGTAGCTGCCTATTCTAAACTCGGTTTAGATTTTACGTACCGATATACTATGGTTTATTTGGTGGGTGCCAACAAAAGGAAAGCATGGGGCATTCACACTTAAGTGGAGTGGAACTCCAACCTTATATATCATGCAAAAATTTTCAATTTTAAAAATTAATTAAAATTAGTAAGAAAGACTAGCACGTAATATTATATCATCACGCCATAAACTTGAGTTTTTATTTTAACAAGTTGCATGGGGAAGATAAAGACACCATGGGCGACTACAGCACATACATATTCGGAAAACTATTTTAATCCCTTGAGGGGATATCCCCTCGTTATTTGCATGTCACTCAAATGGTAATAAAAAAATTGAGGTGTATTAACATGTCATATAATAATGTACAAACATGCAAGTTTAAATTCAATTTCTACATCTTGCAGCGAAAAAAACAAATTAAACCGCAACTAGTTAATGTATATTCAGAGTCAAATTTGTTTTTTTCGTTGTGAGATGTAGAAGTTGAATTTTTACTTGCATGTTTGTGGAGTGATATATCACGTGTTAATACATCTTCTTAATTTTTTTTTTCAAATTTTTTCATAATCATTTGAGTGATGCAAAAATCCACTTCCTACATATTCCTATAATCTATTCAATCAATGACCCCAATCTCTTCGTATGCAGGACCTCTTCAGCGGCGGCGGCGAAACGGTGGCGACGCTGCTGGTCTGGGCAATGGCAGAACTGATCCGGAACCCAATGGCCATGCAGAAGGCGACAACGGAGGTGCGACGAGCCTTCGCACTGGCTGGCGCCGTGTCAGAGGGCAAGGGCGCGCTCGGCGAGCTCCGGTACCTGCACCTTGTCATCAAGGAGGCGTCTCGGCTGCACCCGCCAGCGCCGCTGCTGCTGCCGCGCGAGTGCTCGGAGCCGTGCCAGGTGCTCGGCTACGACGTGCCGCGCGGCACGCAGGTGCTGGTCAACGCCTGGGCGATCGGCCGCGACGAGCGGTGCTGGACCGGCGGCAGCGGCGACGGCAGCTCGCCGGAGGAGTTCCGGCCGGAGCGGTTCGAGGATGGCGCCGAGGCGGTCGACTTGAGGGGCAACAACTTCGAGCTCCTTCCGTTCGGCGCCGGGCGGCGGATGTGCCCCGGGATGGCGTTTGCGCTCGCCAACATTGAGCTCACGCTCGCCAGTCTGCTTTTCCACTTCGACTGGGAGGTGCCCGACATGGCCGACCCTGCCAAGCTGGACATGACCGAGACGTTGGGCATCACGGCGCGCCGCAAGGGCGACCTCCTGCTACGCCCCGTCCTCCGCATGCCCGTGCCCGGCGTCTACTAGACGCCGTTGCCAGAATTTCAGCCATCTGCTCAGCCTTCTTTCTTGTGTTACATCTCCTAATCACCGTTATACAAGTCACCAGTAACACTAATATCGCAATTATATATGTCAAACACAACAAGCCATGTTGTAGCCTCGCTGTTAAATAAGTGGAGAAAGAATTGAAGGAGAAAAGCCGTGGAATTATGCCGCACAAATCTCTCATGTTTTGTCCGACTACGGGTGTAAAAAAAAGAAGTCCATTTTACTTTCTGAACTATTTTTCCAGAGCACTTAGCCCCCAAAATAATTTTCCGCTTATTTCACACTCCTAATTATCAAAATGGCTCTCCCACCAATTCGTTCCCTCTCCCACCTCTCTTTCCCTCTCCTTCACCTCACCCTCCACCCTTCTCAAAGCAGGTGGCGTGGCTCCCCTCCCCTCCCTCCCTCCCTCCTAGATTCGACAGAAGGATGGGAGTGTGGCGGCAGCAACCACCACATGCCACAGTGGTGGCAACACGGAGGGCTCGTGGTGGCGCTCCCCTCCCTAGCTCCCACCTCCCAGTCCGGCCGACAGCGGCCCTCCCCTCCCGTCCCCTCCCAGATCCGGTCGGAGGAGGGAGGGCCGCAGAGGCGGTGCGGAGGGCTCATGGCGGCGCTCCAATCCCCTAGCTCCCACATCCTAGATCCGGCCGATGGTGGCCCTCCCCTTCCCTCCCATCCGGCCGGTGGGGGGGGAGGGGTGGAGGGTGGCGGCGACACGGAGGGCTCGTGGCGGCACTCCCCTCTCCTAGCTTCCACCTACCAGATCTGGCCGATGGCGGCCCTCCCATCCCCTCTCAAGTCTGGCCAGAGGGGGAGGGGCGGCGGCGTGGCTCTCCCCTCCCCTCCCTCTCCCTCCCAAAATCCTAACCCTAGATCCGGCTGGAGGAGGAGGGCGGCGACGGGTAAGGGTGGTGGCGGAGGATTTTTTTTTTGTTTGTTGAAAATATTTTCATAGTCGGGTGGATTTAGCTCCTGCGAAGATGGAGAGGTCGTCTGCGAAATTTATTTTCTTAGACGGAGAAAGGGTCCGCCTGCAAAAATATATTTTGACAGCTTGCAAAAATACTTCTTCTTGTAGTGGATTCACATCACACAAATACACACTACTGAGAGGACTTGTAGGAACAGAGCAACGAAAAGCTGGAAAGCACAATTGTCTGAACTTCACTTATTTACTTCACAATGCATTACTCTTTGCTGGAGACTAATTAAATGTTTCTTTTATAGACAAAGAAAAGCAGACTAGGCCGGTAACGCTGCATGCATGCAGCATTCTTGGATGGCTCTGGCCTAGGCCGGTTGTGCGATCGCCTAAGAGCTAGAGCGGACGGCCCCACCCACCAACTCTCCATCCCCCAGGCCCCCACCCGTGGCAGCCGACGTACAGGCCCAGTACTCCAGTAGAGGCCGAGTCTCACCGGGCGCGTGGGCGCGCGGCCATTCAGGATTCAGCCCAGGCCACCGCACGTCGCTTCGTCTTCGATCCCATCGATCTACTGCTGCGCCGCGCCGTTCTCTCCCATCGTCTCTGCGCCTTCTCTCCTGACCTCGAAGCGAAGAAGCCGACGAGGGCTGTTGATCGTCTGATTGAGTGCAGCCAGCCGGCCCTGATCGAGTGATCCCATCTCGCAATAATCAAAGCAAGCACAGCAGCAGGTAGCCTTCTTAGGTCAAGTTTTATAACAGAGGAGGTGGTCACATCTAATTTTGTCCAACTCTCTGTCTCTCATATTTCTTGAAACTTGTGTGGAGGTTGCTCCTTACATGAGGGGTGGCTGCTCCTCTCTCTCTCTTCTTTTTTCTCCTCCACATCATCATTTGAGTCTACATGGCATCTTGTAATTAGTGATAAGATGCTTATAGTACTTGCGTTTACTCCACCCCTCCTGAAGCTGGAGCTCAGCCAAATAGTTTCAGCTCCACCAAAACTGGGAATGGAGTTGGATGGAGCTATCTCACAAAACATACTAGAGTTGTGGAGCTGGGTTTAGGCAGCTCCACAACTCTACTCCAGACTCAACTCCTGGAGTTTTATTTAGGAGTTGGAGCTGTACCAAACAGGCCCTAAGGTACAGCTCCAACTCTAAAAATAACTCCAGGAGTTGAGTCTGGAGTGGAGTTGTGGAGCTGGCAAAACCCAGCTCTACAACTCTAGTACATTTTGTGAGAGAGCTCTACCCAATTCCACTCCCAGTTTTGGTGGAGTTGAAACTGTTTGGCTGAGCTCCAGCTCCAGGAGGGGTGGAGCTGGAGCTGTGCCAAATAGGCCCGAAATTAACTTAGGATTTTTCTTGTTTGCATGATTTTTTTTCTTGCTATTTAATTTACTTTAGATGTTATACGATGCTACTAAAAAGCATTTGTCAGGTACTCAGAAAAAAAGACAAAAGAAAAAAGAAAAGGAGACAAACAATTTATTGATTCGCAGCAAAGGTAAATGAGAGACCAAAACCTGAGACCTACCGGGGATAAAACGACTCTCACAATTCTTACCTTAGTTTTCTTTTAATTTTTGTACAACTATTTCAAATGCATATAACTTTCATGCTATATAAAATTGGATGAAATTGGCACGTTCTAAAAAATTAAATCCACAAAAGAGATTCAATAACGAGAGGGTCTAGTTAGACAACTGTGAGGGCCACATATCCATCCGTCCTATTCTTTCTCTTTCTTCTCCATCAAGAATCACTAGGCAAACATGATTATATATGTCTTTTTCTAAACCGTATGGGCCAGCATACGTGTTTTAATGAAGCACTTGTTTTCTTTTTCTGAACCGCATTAATGTACCAGTTAAGATCAACTTTTTTTAAAAAAAATACTGTAGGGGAAGCCGCACAGTAAATAAAAAATTATATTAAAATAGACTATTAAAAAAGAGTTACTACATATTTAACAAGAGGAAAGAAGAGATCTCTCTCATCTAAATTTACTCGGTAAAGGAGAGAAAGATCATTATTGAAGAATGTCTTCTAAGACAACACAGCAGGAATTATATATTATCAAAAATAAGCCCATGATCTTCCTCTCGATTGATAGGAACATTTAGGAAAATTTTCCATTGATCATGCTAACTGACAAGAGAACAGACCGAGACCAAAATTGCTACCGGTGCTAACAATATCAGCTGAGAAACTAGAGGAATGGAAGGCCCGGAATTGCTACAGGAAGTGCAACTCAATTATAGTACTAACAGAGATGAGATGAAATGGAAACTAAAAAAATGGGGCAAATTCTCAGTCAAATCCTTGTACGTATAAGGAATAGACTTTTTTTTGGGGGGGGGGGGGGGGTTGAGAAATATGAAAAACTCCAATAGCCCTGAAAATCAAAATTTTTATATGGCTAATGCTGATAGGGAGATTTCAAGCTGCTAAGCAACTCAAGAAAATGAATTGGCTGGGAAACCAACTCTGTACACTTTGTGGAGAAATTGAAGTAGACCATGTGATGTTTAGATGTGCTCCAGCAAGATTTATATGGTGCTGTGCGAGAGATATACTTCCTCCGTTTTACAATGTAAGTTATTCTAACATTTTCCATATTCATATTTATGTTAATAAATTTAGACATATATATCTATCTAGATTTATTAACATTAATATGAATATGAAAAATGCTAAAATGACTTACATTGTGAAACGGATGGAGTATTAAACTAGAGCTCTGTACCTCGAAGCAAAGGGCAGAGCTGACTTGCTCAGAAATTTGAAGGACCCTGGAGAGAAGAGCAACCTAGCTGTATTTGCCTTGTTTCTGCAGCTTGTTGGGCCATTTGGCTTATGAGAAATGATTTAGTTTTCAATGATAAATATATGAGACTTGCTCCGGTCCAATAAAAAGTATCTCGAGGTACCGGTACTTCACGGTACTAAATTGTTTCCGATCGTTGGATCTAACTGTGCAGGATAGGTATTGTTATATTCAACCATCGAAAAAGATTGGATACTGTGAAATTCTAAGTACCTCGAGGTACTTTTTACTGGACCGGAGTAAATCTCTAAATACATTATGAACATTTGTAGCATTGCTGACAAGGTGGTGAATTTGATGCAACAGTGGAGGCCGCTGGATCGATGAAGATCAATGGAGAGGTAGACTTTTTCAAGAACTTGCTGCTTGCCAGAATCAGGGGCTTGGAAAGAGAGGACGAACCAAGATGAAGGCGGTCAGGACGGTGAAGAAGAAGCTAGCTCAAGGCGAGGAGGAAGTGGAATAGCAGTGGCTTATGTGCCGTTTTTGCGACAACAATGTAGTAGTGTCTTGAAAATGTCTAGTTCTGCTGTTTGTTGGGTGTGTTTACTTTTTGGCCCAATGTGGGTAATAATCTTAGGCTGCGTTCGTTCGGGTAACATCGAGGAGATAACACCTCGTTTTCCACGCGCACGCTTCCTAAACAACTAAACGGTGTGTTTTTTGCAAAAAAAAAATTTATAGAAAAGTTGCTTTAAAAAATCATATTAATCTATCTTTGAAATTTAAAATAATTAATACTCAATTAATCATGAGCTAATGGCTCATCTCGTTTTGCGTTTTCCCAATCTCCTCGATCACCTTCTCCTCAAACTCACCCTTAGTTTTTTTTATTTTTTTTAGTGCTTTGTTTGCAATTGCGCGCAAGTTGGTGGCCCCAACGTCTTACAGCATCACCAGCTGTCCCACGTCACTCCTCTCCTTCCCGTGTGTTAGATGGAGGATCTCACGATCCCATTCGGCACGTTAGATGGAAAAAACAGGAGAATTTTGTTGGTAGTTTAATCGAGCGGCTCACTTTTAGTTTTTAATAAAATTTAGACTTTCTTTTGGAGAGTTTTTTTTTACTTCCTATTTTTCAATTTTGGTTTGATTCACCACGTTAGATGGAAAAAAAGAAGAGAATTTTATTTTTTGTTTAACAAAACGGAATTGCTAACTTTTTTGGACAGATTTTGCATCTCCAAATCTTACAGATTTTAGGACATCGGATGGACTTTGAGATTCGTGCTCCATGTCATCTCCTCCAACTCCGGCAAACCTCTTCTTCTCTGGCGCCGGCGAGGACCCTACGGGTTAGGGTCCCGGGGTGGGGTGGGGTGGGAGTGGAAGGGGGAGGGGGGAGGGGAGGAGTTCGCCGGCTCTAGAGGGATGGCTGGGGGAGGCGGTAGCCCGGCGGTGGGAGGCGGATCAGGCGGGCGACGAGGCGGCTTCGGCGGCACCGGAGCCGCAGCGTTGGAGGAGGGTGGTGGG